AGTTAGAAATACCGCTCTTTAAATTAAAATATTATTAATATTTTTCAACATGTAAACATGAATAAAAATGTAACAGATGAAAGCCTTGCATTCTTGTCCAGCTTTGATATAGCCATCTTGATTTTCTTTTCTTTTGTTTTTTTGTTTTTTGTTGTTGTTGTGCTTGATGTTATCTGTGTCTTAAGTTACACTAGGGATGCTCCTTGAAGAAACATTGTTGGTATTTTTTAAAATCAAATTTTGTTATATTAGAATTACTTTAAAGTAGTTATGTAGACTTCATCTGCATCGATTCTGTAGCACCTGCGCTCTGAAGCCTAGCATATGCAGGGCCGTGATTGGTCGATCTCTGAACGGAAGCATCAGACCATGTCTATTTTTAGACCGACCGTATGCACCACGGAGATACGAGATATAAACATATTATATATTTCAAAAAGTAATCTCGTGACGACCATCGACCAAAAGGTGACTTGATAGCTAAAAAATAAATAAATAAAAATTTCGGAGCCCAATACAAAACTTTGTTTTTCGAGATTTCCCCATAAAACCAATATGCAAATGCTGATTGTCACGCTATAAAAATCAACTTCTAGATCAACTTCTCAAAAATCAACTTCTAAATCCAATTCAGTGGATGAAGAGCCACTCTGTGGAAATGCCACTTTTAAATCCCATTTATTTTATTTTTCTATTTTTGAGAGAGATCGACTGAGGGAAGGTCTATGCGTGTACTACAGCTGATATTCAGATGGACCTTAGTCCTAACATCTGTGACTACGAAAAGTACAAACGTTGTGACGTATTTCCGGGTCTGAGTGATCATAAAAACCGATTTACAATAAAACAAAAAAATTGTTGCTGGGATACCTGTGGTATACCAGCTATAAAATGCCTTCGTTTTTTTGTTTTTTCTCCGCGACTAATTGGCAAAGTTGCGCAATAGTTACCCAGGAATCTTCAGGAACTTACCCAAGAGACCTTTGCGGGTTTCTGCCATAGGGTTCCCGTCTATAGTCCAATCAATTATCATGTACCAGATGTCAATCAATGTCACTATGTTGTCAAGTGATTATTTATGATATTTCTGTATTTATATGAACTGTTTTGGCTTCAAAATATACTCACAAAGGAACATGAGCAATAGCAATATTTATTTTAAGATTCTATTTGATTTAAGAAGCAAAATAAATAATTTGCTACCACATTCCAGGGTTTGATCTTTGCCCTTCG